GGACAGTGGGAGTGGACTTGAATCGGGACACAACCCTGCAGCTCTGACCGATGTCCCCCATCTTCAGGTATCGCAGTGCTCTCCCCCTACACGGCACGCGCCCCCACCCCCGCCAACTCCGAAGTTTGGGACTGGCCAAGGTGCTGTGCGCAGACGCAATGGACGGTGAGAATGGACTTGATTCTGGGCACACCCCTGCAGCTCTGACCCACAACCCCACCCCCATCTTCAGGTATTGCATTGCTATTCCCCCCCCCCGGCCAGCTCTGAACTTTTGGACTGGCCAAGGTGCTGTGCGCAGACGCAGTGGATGGTGGGAATGGACTTTAGTCGAGACACACCCCTGCAGGTCTAACCCACAACCCCCATCTTCAGGTATCGCAATGATTCCCCCCGACCCGGGACGCACCCCCCCCCACCAGCTGTGAACTTTGGAACTGGCCAAGGTGCTGTGCGCAGCCACAATAGACGGTGGGAGTGGACTTGAATCGGGACACACCCCTGCAGCTCTGACCCACGACCCCCATCTTCAGGTATCGCAGTGCCAGCCCCCGACCTGGCACGCGCGACCCCCCACTAGCTCTGAAGTTTAGGACTGGCCAAAATTCTGTGCGCAGATGCAGTGGACGGTGGGAGTGGACTTGAATCGGGAAACAACACTGCAGCTCTGACACACGAACCCCATCTTCAGGTATCGCATTGCTCCCCCCCGACCTGGCTCGTGCCCCCCCACCCCGCCAGCTCTGAACTTTGGGACTGGCCAAGGTGCTGTGCACAGACGCAGTGGACGGTAGGAGTGGACTTGAATTAGGAAACACCCATGCAGGTCTGATGCACGACCCCCATCATCATGTATCGCATTGCTACCCCCCCGACCTGGCTGTGCCTGCCCCCCGCCAGCTCTGAACTTTTGGACTGGCCATGGTGCTGTGAGCAGACGCAGTGGACGGTGGGAGTGGACTTTAATGGGGACACACCCCTGCAGATCTGACCCACAACCCCCATCTTCAGGTATCGCATTGCTCCCCCCAACTCGGCTTGTGCCCCAACACCCCTCTAGGTCTGAACTTTGGGACTGGCCAAGGTGCTCTCCGCAGA